CAAAGGCTTTCACTCAGCATCTGGATTTTTTTATGGCATGTGTGCATGGATAATTTAAAGTGCTCATGCTGTGTGGTCAGAATCAAAGTTGCAATCAAATTCTACAGTATGACATGGCGAGTCCTGCCAGAGGGGCCTCCGATTCACTGCGTTTGATGCTCTTTATAAACAAAAAAAGAGACCATTTACTAAGAAAGAATGCTGTAGAGTAGAGAGCTGGAGAAAAGATACTCTCTGAAAGCCTATGTGTTTGATTTTGGGGTGTGTGTGTGTGTGTGTGTGTGTGTGTGTGTGTGTGTGTATGCATGCGCACACACTTGTCGATACATACATTGGCCTATATTGTGACATAAAAGAGCAGAGCGTGAGCCACAGGCAGAAACAACTAGAAGCTGTTTTTAATCCAATCAGTTAGGCTTTGGATTTTAATTCAGTAGCTAAGATCATTTACATCCTGGGTTATTACTGGAAGAAAGTTAACTGATTCTTATGATTTCATTGTTTTTTCAATGATTTCATCATTTTGGTTGATTCAAATATCTTGTTTTCCTTCTTCTCCATTCTTGTAATATAAACAGTTTCCCAATTTGCTGATTTGGTCGTGATTGACTTATTTTTTATTATTCCTAAAAAATGCATTTCTTCCTGTGCCCCCAAATTAAGACTTTCTTCCTCCTCTGAATTCTTTTAAACTTCTTCTGAAGTGCCAGGTTGATTACAAATTTCTTCAGTTTGTGTTTTTCTTGAGATGCCTTTATTTCTTCATCAGTTTCAGTTGCTAGTGTAGTTGGAGATAATTGTTCTTCATTTTCTTTCAGATCCAGGACTTTATTCTTTCAAACTTTGCTGGTACTCAAAGCTTATGCCAAGAGGTCTGATGCTATTCTGATGGTTAGTCTTCTTAAATTTCGGGGATTTTTCTTACAATTCTTAATACTCGTTCTTTGTCCTGTAGTCTTTCAATTTTAACTATGATATATTATGTGGGACACTCCTCTGTATTCTGTGAATAGGTTTTATTACCATTGGTTAATAAAGAAGTTGCTTTGGCCTATGGCAGGGCAGAATATAGCTAGGTAGGAAAGCCAAATTGAATAGAGGGAGAAAGAACAAGGAATCAAGGGAGATGCCATCAACTTCTAGAAAAGCAACATGTGAGGTAACAAGCTACAAGACTTGTGGTAAAATATAGAATAATGAAAATGGGTTAATTTGACTTGTAAGAGCTAGTTAATAATAAGCCTGAGAAAACATGCCAGTTTGTGATTAATATTAAGTGATTATTTGGGAACTGGAGGGGAGAAGTCTTCAGTGACAATGTATCATGTAGACCTTACCACATCTATTTTAGGGTCAAAGTTTTACCTGCATAATATATATTTATGTATTATATATAATATGATACAATATAGTATAATATATATTATATACTTATATTTCCATGTGCTCAAAATATTTCTGCATTAATTTCAGTAACTAAGTATCCTATGTCTTCACTAAAATTTTTACATTTGTTCTCTTGATCAAAGCCCGGTGCTCTTCAAAGTTATGGCTGTGCTTGTCTGTTTAGTGGTTGGTTGGTTGAAGATGTTGGTTAAAGCTAACTACTGTGTCGTGACTGAACAGAGGACAGAAAACTGTATGAATAGTATACAATATGTTAGATCCTAAGAGCCAGAAATAAGTCAGAGGAGATGGTGTTTTCCAGCACAACAGAGCATTGCGTCCAGAAATGGCCAGCAATTGAGACAGTGCACCCAAGACCTGTGTAAGCTTAAGTCAAACAAAATTTCAGTATGGAGGTTGTGCAGGGGAGAGATGGCAGAAAATCCCACCACTAGCTGAAGGGCTATTGGCATTCAATAGCTGTTAGGAGAGAGTCAATTATCTTTAATGATGTGGAACCTGGTTCCATATCAACCATACTCCATACCCCGCTGCCAAGAGAAGTTGGGCAATGCAACCTGTATTCAATTGTATTCGGTGTGTTTAAAAATAAAAGAGGACCACTCAGGTTTCGGTGGGTAGGTACACGAGGCTAAAGAGGGTGTATCTGGGGGTAGCTGGGGAAGAAGATGTGAATGTGATAAAACATTGTATGAAATGCTCAATGAATTAATAAAAATATTATTTAAAGAGAAAACAAAATCTGTAATTGATTGAAATAAGGGACAAGATTAGTGGAGGGAAAAAACACAAATAAAAGATTGGGACGCGAAAGGTCTGGAGAGGAGTGTCATAAAGTCGGTAAGCAAAGGACAGGGGGTAAACATGACTACATAATAAAGAGACATGTGCAAACAAAATCATACAAACATCAGAATGATGCCAGCAAAGCATACGAGGGTTTTTTTTAAAGATAAAATAAGGTCTATATAATGCTGTGTGAAAAACGGATAAAAGTGGATGCATAAGAGGCAAAAATAAAATTTAAATTAAGGTAAGCACAGGGAACTGGTATGGCTTCTTACCTATTGTACTGCCATGTTCAAGGTCACTAGAAGAGGGTAAGGCCATGGTAGGGCATGGGGAGCCAAAAGCAAGGATGGGGCTCAGTCAAGCTAGGAAAAGGCTGCAAGGATATGGAATTGAGCTTCGTTGTGTATCTCAGGACCATCCTATAGTAATCCTGACACCAAGGGAATGACGATTTCACAAGTGACTCGTCATGTCACTGGATGCCCATAAGAAGAGACAGCAGAACTCTGGATTACAGACCAACATTTAACTGTTTGCTTAGTTCAAATGCTAAGATTCCATTGGCTGGAACACTGGGTACAGGGTATGGAAAAACAACAACAACAAACATGTGCTGAATGTTTTTTATCATTGGTGGTTTATTGGAATCAAATTATTAAAGTCCTATTAAAGCTTGGTCCTTTATACAATTCTGTAAGAATTTTAAATACCAATGAAGTTGACTCCAGTGCTGTTATTAACGCTGGTGGGTTTCTCACAGTGTTAATTCATAAACAAAATAAATATCAATAGAAAGGAGTCTTGGCTTAACTGTTGAGTGTGTTCTAGTTCACACTTCTGTATTGCACACAGTGCTCGGGTGTACATTCTCAGTGCATTCCCTGTCAATCTCATGATGGACTCTCACCTGTCCTGTCCCTCACCGCCTCAGACGTTGGTTAGAGGTTCTGCTTTACCCCAGTGATTTCTTACTATTTGAGCCATGGTGCTTACCAAGGGCAGCCACTGACTTTTTCCTGACTCCTGACTTGAGCTGGCATCCCGTGCTGCTGTGATATCCCACAGCAGAGTACTGTGCACCCCCACCATTGCTCTTAGATCCCACCATAGAATAGGATGCTTTTTTGCTCCCCAGAAAGCTGGCAGCTCTATCTGCCAGTGCCTTTTGGGAGTCTCCGAGATTTGTGACTGAGATATCTGAATGCAAGTCACCCCTTGTCTCTGAAGCTCCCATCATGTCCTGCCTGGGTCTCCACGCTGTGTTTATCGATGCTTTCTATCGCCCTGGGCAGGGTGAAGTGCGATCACCAAGGCTGGCTGAATTTTTCACAAGCACATGAACTCTGGTCGCTGAGTCAAAAGGAAGTTTTATTATAGAATAAAAATTCTATCAACATGGTCTCTCATATTTATATTTGTGTGTCATGGAGTTTCTGAATGGTCACTGTTGCCCATTTTCTACTGCACACAGGCATATTCCTTTCTGTCTTCCATGTACGCTGGATTTTTTTTCAAAGCTAATGTATTTAACCAGCTAGCTCAAATTAAAATTGTTGTTGTTACTAACACTGTACACATGGTTATATAGCCAGTTCATTGAGAAAATGTTCAATGAAGATATTTCAGATTTACATTTTAACTAAAGACAAGCTAGTATATGTGTGTACACGAGTTTTCTCTTTAAATGTAAATAGTCTTGTTATCTAAGGACTTCCGTGAAGATACAAAGTGTAAAGTATTTTCTGTTCTGTCTTTTTTACTTGTTCGTTTGAAGCTCCTTCCAGACAAAGCTTTCTGGTTTTATTTCTGCTTTTAGAATAACTTCTAAAGCTTATTCGGTGTTTGTAGAATAAGAATCACTATGATTTGAGACATGAAATCATGGTGGATTTATTCAGGTTTTGCATTTGAGATGACTACAGATATAGGTGATAGTTATTAGAGGTACTTTAAGACATGTGGATTTTGCAGGACAACAGTAGTGGCCTTCAAACTTCCATTCATTTTCCTGACACAAGGGTTATCCATCCCCGTTAAACCCCTAGTGAGTGTGCTAAGACAGCAGTTCTTAACCTGTGGATCACAACCCCACTGGGGGTCAAATGACCCTTTCACAGGGGTCATATACCATACATACTGCATATCAGATATTTACATTAAGAATCACAACAGTAACAACATTACCATTATGAAGTAGCAAGGAAAATTGTTTTATAATTGGGCTCAGTGCAGTCTGAGGAACGGTATTCAAGGTCCATAGCATTAGCAAGATGAAGAAACACCGAGCCTGCTCTGCATCCCTAACATCTATCTGCAAAGTCTGTGTGGTGTGGAGGGCCCTCGCCACGGGAACCTGAGGCCCAGGAGGTTTGGCTCAGTTCAGACATGAATCAAGTTCAAACGCACAAAAATGACTTGTATTCACGTTCCAAGTCATGAATCTCTTTGTGCCTGGGTAGCTGTCAGTTCACTGGCGTGAGGGACCCCAGATTGTCACGTTGGGATTTTTCTCCCCTGACACTCTGCAACTGTTCTGATGGGTGATGAGGGGTAGCATGGCCCTAGTTCCTGGGCTTGCAACTGAAGAGACAAGGGATAGGTCAGCCACTCTCATCCCTGTCTGAACTGGAGTATCACTGCCTGAACCCTTTGTCCAGAGTGGCCCACTGAAGAGGCCTCTGCATTGTTGAGAGATGCCCATGGGCTGGTGATCATGGCTGTGTGCCTTGCGCATACCCTGCTTCTCTGAGGATGGCTGTGCTCCCCACGAGCTTTATTTCCTTGCTGTCTTGTCTTTGCAGATTATGGCACCATCAAGAAAGTACGGGCTCCCCTGAGTCAGACCGCAGGCAGCTGTTTGCTGGAAGAAATTGAGCTTTTCCCAGAGAGGAGGAGAGAGCCCATCAGGAGCCTGCAAATCCTCCACAGCCAGAGCGTCCTGTTTGTGGGACTACAGGAACATGTAGCCAAGATCCCGCTGAAGAGGTGCCACTTCCACCAAACACGCAGGTAAGGAATTCCCAGGCTAAGGGCCCCTGTGCCAAGAAGCCCGTGAAATCTCCTGCAGTCAGAAGTATGTAGGAACTTACGTCTATATACGTCTTATGTTCCAGGATGCAGGGTCTTCATGAAAAGTTATGATATCACTAAGCCCTGGTTGTCATTGGAGGAACCATGTGGGTAATAATTGTGACCATTCATATGTGTAAAAATAAATTATTTATGCTGGGCAGTGGTGGCACAGGCCTTTAATCCCAGTCCTAGGGAGTCACACATCTTGAATCCCAGCACTAGAGGGAATATAAAATGGGAGGGGTGAGAGGCTTAGTCTGCTTAGTTTGCAGCTGCCCAGCCTTGATAGAGGTAATACTTCTCTAGTGACTTGGCTACCTTGCTTTTCTGGTTTTCGGTTGAACCCAATTTCTGTCTCTGGGTTTTCACTATTTGTGCGGCACAGTGTTGACCATAGTGAACTCTGAAGTTTACTGTGGAAACATGCAGGCCCAGGTGCTTAGGAAATGGAAGGGGCTATGAACTCCATGAACTTTACTAGTACTGTGTTTGATGTGGTGGAAACTGGCTTCTGACACAGTTTTGCTCTAGAGGGGCTTGGCGGCCTTGTTCATATCCAGCCCCCTAAGCAAGGCGTGCCTGAAGGTTCTAAGCCAACGTGACATTTTTACTGTATTAACTTCTGAGACTCCCCTTGTGCAGATCATTCTGTTTCTGTACAGGGAGCCTGCGGCAGGAAATTCATAGTATAGCTGTTGTAGATAATTTTCACCATGACTCCCAAAGTACTTCAGCCTCACTGTCTTGCCTTCTACATGTGATTTTCTATAGAACCAAATGGGATGATATATACATGGTAAAATCACAAGGTCTTTGTGTATTCATATGTAGAAGGGAGAATTTTATTTTCTTTTTTCATTTTATATATAACTATTGCAAAGTTCCATTCAGGATTATTCTATAAAGTTAATCTGTACGACATTCCTTGGTATCAGAAAGAGTTAGAGAATATGAGCGAGGCACTCTTACTGAGAAATTGGGAGCCTTGATAGTGGATAGTGACATTTATTATCAACCCTCTTTTGTGTATGTCTGCTTTCTAACTTCAACCAACGGCTGTGGAACTTGTTCCTGTGTGCATTTCTGCGCGTCTAGTCTGAGGCAGCTGTCACTGCTTTCTGGGTGCTTATCATTCGCTGGATAACAGGGATGTTTGGGGGACAGCCCAGAGCAACATCCTAGCCAAGCATGGCTGGAAGGATCCCAGTTTCCCAAATTTTGCTCTATTAGAGCCAAGTTCTCCTGGGGATTTATTGGGGTCAGGACAGGATAGCAGGCAGGACAGCATGGGCCTGTGCCATGTGAGATGTTTCTGGCACTAAATACGGAGCGTGGTTGCAAAGCATGACAAATCCATTGCTTTCATTAAGCCTTCCTCCAACGAGTCTAGGTCACTTCAGCTCAATAAACTAAATCATGGGTCAGTGTGGCAGTGTGAATGTAATTGCCCCCCATAATCTCATGGGGAGTGGCATAATTGCCAGGTATGGCTTTGTTGGGTTGGATATGGCCTTGTTGGAGGAAGTATGTCATCGTGGGAGTGGGCTTTGAGGTTCTCAATGCTCAGGATACCACCCAATGTCTCAGCTGGCTTCCTGTTGCCTGCCACATGTAGGACACTCAGCTACATCTGCCTGCACGCCACCATGATTCCTGCCATGATGATGATGGGCTGAACCTCTGATACTATAAGCAGGCCATGTCAATTCAGTGTTTTCTTTATAAGAGTTGCCATGGTCATGGTGTCCCTTTACAGAAATTAAAACCCTAACTAAGACAGTCCTATTGCTATCAAGAGAGGGACGATGCCCACTGTCTTTCATGCCTTGGTCCATCAACCCCATCTTGAATCCACAGAGGCTGAAACCACCAGGTGCAGATGCTAGGCGTGAACCGTTATTGCTTCCTTCTAGGAGAATAAGGCCACGGGTGTATCTTCGTGGGCCCCCGCAGGAGAGGAGGCGCTCATGTTTCCCTCACAGCTGAATCCCCCCTCTGTTTATTTTGCACTTGCTCAGGGTGAAACAGCCAGAGAGCATAGCTCCATTGTGAGCAGTTACACTGGGCGTCTGTGCACCGTGGTCGGTAGGCTTGTGTTTGGCTCTTAGTATTCCATCTGAGAAGGGAACTCTGGTGACCGTGAACCAAGCATCCCTCTGTGTGTCTTCTGACGCGCGTCTCTCAGTGTCCTCTTCATATGGAGGGCTGAGAAAGACTCCCCAGTTAAAGCTCACAAGGAGACTCTATTTTGTAAACACTACATGCTTGGATTTTTAAAATGGATTATAGGAAAAATGGAATCCTTTCAGAGAAACAATTTTAATTTTCCAGAAATATGCTTAATGAGGCACACTGACTTGGAATGGACCAGTAATGGGGTTATGTGATAGTTTCTGTGGCAAATGCCATTCTGTAGTAAAATATCAATAATTTGGTTTTAGGAAATCAATTTCAAGAATGAAATCTCTCAATATTTATAAAGGGAAAAGGAGTTTATATAAATATGACACTTTTGAAGAGGAAAAATGTATCACAGAATCTTTATATTCTTCCTTTTGTTGGTTACCTGTTTTCCAAAGACAATTTGTACAGTTTTGCAGCAGTGTTTGCGATTCTATTACATTTTCCATGACTGAGCCAACTCTGAAAGTAAAGTACCATTCCATTCTCATTGTTCAGATGAGGGTGCGGAAGTCTAGATGTCAATGCCGTGCTTAAAGCTACACTGAGATCAGGGCAGCCTGTATGCCCCCAATGCAGGCTACGCTGACAACTTTCTCTTGGTGCAGAGAAGTCACCACAGTTAGAGTCATCTCTCACATGAAGCTGCTGGAATTTAATCAGACTGTACAGGACGAGGAGCGTGGAACTTGTTAGCCATGATGTCATCCTATCAATTTCCTCAGTTTTGTGCTTGCCTTGTACCAGATGGACCCAGTATGGACTCTTTCCAAAGCACCCCATGCTGAGTATCTGCTCCCTTCTCTCTTGTGGTGATCCTGCATCCTTGGGGAGGCTCTCAGCACTGTTGATGGCTTGTCTTCATTGTAGCTCAAAACACAGCATGGTTGCATGGGCATTTCTTTAGAAATTATTTTAGGAAAAAAAATTCTTAATGTTATAATTTAGTCAAATTTTATCATAAATGTGAGTTAAAAATTTTGTTTTAATATTGGCTTGTTTAGATGCTGCCACTTAATAAATAATAATAATAATCATGCAGATGATGGAGCCAAACCCAGTCTTGGAGTCTATGTTATCTCTTTAAACATCCTTTTTAAAGCAATGGATGTGCACATTATGTTTATATATTTCATAACATGAAGTGGTATTTGCTGTTTTTGTTTTGAGGTACCTGGGATCTACCGTCCCTGCTGTAGGTCAGTGTTTGACAATACCTCATGAGTGCCACCTCCTGGGCACTTGACGTGCATTGCCAGTGTCACTAGGTAATCTCTGAAGAAGGACAAGTTCCGGTGGCGTAGCACAGGATGGAACTGGCAGGAAACGCAGTGACTAATTGCCTGTCTGGGTTAGATTCCAATGCAAAATGGTAACCTGGCACTCAGATGGTTGACAGACTTGGGCGCCGGACTGGGCGAGCTCCCATTTTATCTTGTCAGGAAGCAGAGATGACCACACGACTCGGGCTTTCAGAGCCATATCTAGGAGTCAGGCTTTTATCCCCTCCCGCCTCTGGAAGTCTTGCACTTCCGAAGATAGTTACAACTCTTCAACTCTCAGCCAATGACAGCTTGGAAGGCTTAGTGGGAGGACACATCCTGTTAAAGCCATTTTAAGAAGTGTGCACCGACTAGATCCGCGGCTCAAGAAACTTTTTTTTTGCGAAAGGAAGGAAAATATTCCAAGTGCAAAATTTCTGTAGCAAGGAATGATAAGAAATTATCTTCACCCTGGTGTATAGCCGTCCTGACTCACTAAGGCAATGGACTGAGCCAAGCTTGACAATGAATGCCCAGGTAAAATATACGAGCTGCTTTAGGAGTCAGGAAGTTGATGACCTATACAACCAGCCAAGACTAGAAAAGAATGTCAGTCCTTAGATGCAGTATCCCACAGAAGGATGCCAAAGCATAGAGGGCCATGGACCAGTGCTACAGGACAGACAAGGTACCTGATGATCCAGGGGGCTTCCTGAGAAACTGAGCCGTTAAAGATCCTGCAGCTGTTCTTTAAGTGAAGCAAGAGAGGAAGCCAGCACCTCTGCAGAACTCCAGAGGGGTGAGCAGAGAGATGGGGGCCAACTTCATGAGATCAGCCCCAGAATTCAGAGATGAGTGAGACAGGTAAGGGGATGGCTCTATATCTACTCCTGGAAAGCACTACGTCCTAGGATCTGAATGTTGAGGCATCCTCCGGAAGCTTAAGAAGGGGAGTTGCTGCTGAGCCATATGTTTTTTGATGAGCCAGTATGTTTTTTGACTGGATGGGTTTCTATTACATATATGTGAATACAAGTTATTAAACGTACTAAATGAGTGATTAAGTTGCAAATACAAAACCTAATACTTTCTGAATCTCTCTCTCTCTCTTGTGTGTGTGTGTGTATGCGTGTGCCTCTGTGTGTGTGTGTGTGTGTTTTATGTGACACTCCTTGAACTTTTCAAGATAAAATTAGCCCACCAGGCCATTGAGCTTACATTCTGTATATGAGGGACCCATCTGAATCAAAGAGAGAGTGTGTAAGCAGCAGTGATTACTGTCTTAGAGCAGAAGTGAAGGACAACACAGGTTCTATCTTGCTACAGAAGCTTGAACCCTAAGCCCTAGTTGGTCTCTGGCTCCAGGTTCCTTGGTCCTCCAGAACTGTGTGCGCCTTAAAAGAGGCTCAGTACATATTTGATGAGTTAACATATGGGCCCTGCTTCTGCCTTCTCCTCTCTCTTTCGATAACCTAGTGGGCAGAGTGGGGGCTAAAGTGTTGTGAAAATGTAGGAAAAAAGGATGATGCTATAAGCAGCCAAAAGAGTGAAACCCTTGATCCTTCGGTACTTCTGTTGTGTGCCATAATGGGGAGAAAAAAAAAAGCCGACCCAGGAACAGAAACAGCCCATCGATAAAATGGATAATGGACACCTCTAGAATTGTATTTGATAAAACTAGAAAGATGGAACCATAAAGAAACAGTCTTGGGCTTCACTGGACAGAGCTTGTATCTGGTCACTACTAATCCACTCACAGTGTAATAGTGCCATTAAGCTAAAGGAATTAATACCTCATTAAGAAAATTAGTATGGAAATTAAGTACTGTAGGATATCTACTGTGCTAAAGGCCAAAGTTTTCAAAGGTAGACTTAATAGGTTGTCACCATTATTAATGAAATGTTCTCTGAAGATATTATGTGCACAGTGGGAAGGTATACCGCATGCTGAGAAAATAGCAACACCCTCCATGGTCCCAGTGATATGCCTTCAGTCAGCAGGTTGCATATTATTCAAGCATCCAGGAGGACTTTGAGATGAACACTCACTTTACAAAGTAAATATTCTCCTTCTCCAAATAATTTATTGATTTCCATGTCTCAGTGTCCTGAGTTGAGCTACAGTGGCATCCGTCCGCTTGGCCTGTGAAGTCTGTGGATTTCCTTCATCACTCCAGTCACGGAGTATTTATAGCATTTAGTACATTCCAGACACGGACCCAGTCCTGAGTGGATGGTGACAGATGATGCAGCCCTAACCCTGCCTGTGTAGGGCCCAGCATCTAATGAGAAATTCTGCCATAAATAAAATCATCTGAATAGCTAATGTAGGACTGAGTCAAAGGTTCTTGGGGTCGTATTACATTTTATTCCAAAATGGATTTATCATTAAACCTGATCCTAGACCATGCTAGGAATTAATCCCCTCACTTGATGTCTAATTATTTTTAAGCCATATCTGGATTATAACTGGCTTTCTAATTCTCCGCTTCTGAAACTGAGCAGCAAGGCGTGGCAGACACATTCCATGGGTTCTTCATCCAGTGGGTCACTCTGAAGCCATTCAACGCTGACTGTGGCGACTTCTCTCCTCCTTCAATGACTGTAACAATGAAGGCAGGGGAGAGAAATCCTATGCACCCACATGCTACTTACACTGGTACAAAGTTCTCAGCCTTACTAAGTATACACAGGCCCAGCCAGCAGCTACTCCACAGGCCTCCTACTTTTGAGCTTCATAGCTGAGCAAACCTTTCCATGGAAAGCTCAAGCTGCAACCGTGTCTTTGGTTCTAGACCAAAACTCCAAAACTGTCAACATCAGTGGCAACTGAGCTCCCCCTGAGATTTTTATCGCTGTATAACTTACTGAACTCGTGATTTTAAGAATAGGACCATTGCCGTGAAAACATCTTACTCATAAAGACACTATGAACTTGGGGGCTCATTTGGAGCCTGGATGTGGCTGACAGTGAGTGAGAACTCAGTCTCTCTGGGTCTGTGGTCATAAGAGCAAGAGCAGAGACTAAGATTGTATAATAGTTGAGCACATTATAATCATTTAGTCCTACAAGGTTCCTGTTCTTTCTGATGAAGCTTTAGTGTTGGTTAATGTACGTCCTTCTGAGACGGCATTGTCCGTGAGAGATCTTTTGTACTTATGTGCATACTCCATTGAAAATTTGATTCAAAACCTCTCTGTGTTCCACCTGCAAGTCAAAAATCAAACAGACTAGTTGCAGATGGTAGTGTTTGCTAATGTCCGAGTACCTGGAATACTGAGGTGGTGGGATATCAAATTCAAGATGAACCTTGGCTACATAGAGACAAACTGTCCCATAGAATACAGTAAGTTGGGGCAGTCTGAGCCAAACTGAAGCTAGATTGACAGGTCCGTAGATTACCTTTACACAGCTGCACCCCTTGTACCAGCTTCCATGCCATGCAACAAATTCTTCACCAGGTGCTTTATCTTTCTGAGCAAATAAAGAGACTCAAATGTGTGGGGGAAAGTGTTTTCTTCTCGGGGTGTCATTTGCACTTTGAAGTGCACGGTATTTGCTGGGCAGCCTAGGTCTTCAATTGGTCTCAAAGACTCTCAGTGAGGTCCTCGGGCTTCAGAGACTAAATGCTGCTATTCTGCCCACAGGAGAACCTCCCAAGTGAGTCTTTGTCAAATATCTTCTGTCTTTTTTATGTAGCAAGAAAAACTAAAGATTTGGGAAAAAATAATTGTGTTCGATTGTGTTCAGCAATTGGATGCTGTTTCCATAACTGACAGAATCATTTCAAATCCTGCTGCGGTAGTTTGCTTGGCCTGGTAACAATTCTACACTTAATAATTATGCTGTAGTATATTAAAGATTAATATTGTTGCTTTTTGATAGCAAATATTTAAATCTAAGGGGCAAAATTGTTGTCAAGAGAGCAGATAAAATCATATTAATTGGTTTTACCCAAGCTTTTCACAATGTGACTTTCTCCAATCAAGGACATTGCACTCATTGGGTTTGTTAAATCTCTATTCTTTATTGCATTCTTATTGAGTATAAGAGTAAAGAAACAAAAATTTAAAAAAGAAATTCCACTTTCACTATGGTTATATCCACCAGAAACTCATGGTTTCCATATGGCCTCTTTAAACGATCCCAATTCCAAATATAATAAGTCACAGCGATTGGTTCAGTGTAGACTAGGAGGAAATTATAAGTATGTTGGCTTTCTCCTGAATGGGTGCTTGTGTTTGGATAGCAGTTGTGATGTTTAAAGAGTAATGGAATATTAGAAACGACCAGAACCCACAGCATTGTAGGATGACAGCTATTATTATAAGCAGAGTTTTAGAACCCTAACCCTTCGCTCTAGTGCAGAATCCCTGCTTCAGGTCTCCAGGTGGCTTTGCAGGCAAGAAGGGCCCTGATCAGAAGAGGGAGTCCATCAAATCTCTCCCCTTTGAGCACTGGATTTCACCTAGTTGTCATGTTAATATAATATAGTAATAATAATAATCTTATTAATAATAGTAAAGACATAGAAAAGAACTTAAGCCCTTAGAATGGTTCTGTAAGTGTAGCTAGGCTGTAGTCACCCATAATGGTAAAATGGGGTCACAGGCAGAGCAAATCCCAAGGTGAGAAGCACACTTAGTATGTGGTTCTGTCAGTGAAGAATGATTCCTGGCCTCTCTGGGGAGCTACACGCAGAAATTTGTTACTTTGAGCTAGTTAAATGCCAGGTCACTCCCAGCTCCAGGCAGCCTATCCGGCCAAGTAATGCCAAAGCAAAAAGCAGACACCTTTCAGTCCTGTCCCGAGACCCCAACTCACCTCAGTCTCCTTCATAGGTTACACTTGAAGGACCTTCATATTCCCAGAGACATCCTGTGGGTGTTTTCCTACAGCAAATGGTCTGTGCAGTCAGTGTGTTTTTCTATGTGCTTTCAGTGCCTGCATCGGGGCCCAGGACCCTTACTGTGGCTGGGATGTGGTGATGAAGAAGTGTGCCAGCCTGGAGGAGAGCCTGAGCATGACCCAGTGGGAGCAGAGCATCTCCACCTGTCCGGTAGGTGCCCGCCCTGCCCAGCCTCTAAAGGTATCATCGATGGGAAGCAGACTCACAGGGGTAGGCTTTCCAAGTGGATCAATCCGCTGTTGCAAACCCAAAGCCAAGTTGTGTTTTCTAAGCCTGTTCTGTTCCTGGCTTGCAGGAGGACCACACAGGGTGCTCTCACCTGCTTTACATTGATTTGAAATACATAAGATTCAACGGTACTGTTGAGCATAAGATCCTGGTTTTTATAACTTTTATTTATTTCTTTGTGTGCAGAATCTGGTGTGGACTCTTGTCCCTGTCATGCTAATAAACATGTGAACTTCCACACACCTTCCCTTCCCCTGGGGCTGTAATTCTCCAAGCTGACATAAGGAAAGGTTTGAAGAGTAAGTTAAAGGCTGTTACTGTGGCCCCATGTGGAGCGGATTCCCAGACCTTGGTCAGGGTCACTGGAAGGCCTGGAAGAGGCAGCCTGTGTGCATTTCTACACGGGACCCTGAGGAATGAAGAGAAACTGGCCTGTGTTTACAGCCAGAGCCTGAATCCAAGAAAAGCAAATCTCACTGTTTGCTCGGGATGTCTGCTTGGATCCTCGCTCCTGGAGAAGCCGGTTTTCCTTTATTTCTGTCTTCCGCCTTGTACTCTAGCTTGTGAACAGAAACTACCAACATTAATGTACTCACAGGACTGAGGCAGCTGTCGCTTGGTGCCGCAGCTGTGAGTTTCTGCCTGCTGCTTCTGAGCACCTCTGCAAGGCAGGGCAGGGACTGTACTCTCCCTGAATACCTTAGACAGACCTCAGGCTGCTGAGCTGCCAATGCAGCTCCCAGAAACAGCCCCTTCCCTATCTAAGCCATATGCTAATGAAGCCTGTCCTCCAGCTCCTAAGGAAATGGAGCAGAGTGAAAGTGGAGGGTGAGCAGCCTTCCCGAATGTTCCCAAGGGTGGTGAGTCCTTCACACAAAGGATCCTGTGTGGACATCATCACTTCTAGCCATTCAGTGCTCCCTGTGGGGGTTAGCTTAGACCAGTGGTTCTCAGCCTCTGGGTCAAGACTCCTTCGGGGATCAAAAGACGGGGTCACATATAAGGTATTCTGTAATAATTGTGTTACATTACAACTCATAATAGCAATATTAGAAGTTATGAAGTAGCAACAAAAGTAATCTTATGGTTCTGAGTCAATACCATATTTAAAAAAACCATCATTAAAGTGTGACATCCTTCGAAAGGTTCAGAACCACTGGCTTGGACCCTTCGACTTTGTAGTGCTAGGTCTTTTGTTTTAAAAAAGGAATTTCTCTTCCTTATCTCTTGAAAATGTTTTGAAAATATCATGAACGGAGGAAATCCCCTTCTCGGTGCTGAACATGTTAAGAGCCCGAGAGCAGTCAACTTAAATCTCTTGCAGAAGGTGAAAACTCAATAAACAGCATCCAAAGGTCAGTCTGTGCAGACATGTGCTCGTAGACAGCCATGCATCTTCGCGCAGGCTTTTGTCCTGCGTTTGATGGCTAAAAGAAGGTGGAAGAAGCAGATGGCATCACTGCAGTTTCTCTCGAATGGTAGGAACATTTCTCCTGCAGCGATGGTTACACGTGTGAGCATCTGAGCGGAGAAGGCTATGCAGAGGGACAATCACCCCATGTCTTTACTAAAACAGGTGCCCGTCTTGGGTATTCTACAGAGCGAGTGTGAGATGGAGGGATCTGAGGTTCGAGACATGACCAAATGTTGTCACCCATGTTGTCTCACGCTAACAAGAAGGCAGATTCAGTTAAATCTTCAAGACAGCATGGGCATGCCGTGGTGCTAGAATCACGGCTCTGAGATGGGACCTCATACCCAATATCAACTACACAGAACAAGATCTTTTTTCTAGACATGGGTATATTTATTATATAGAACCCCATCCTCTTACCCAGTGGATTTTTCTACATCAAGATATACTTTTGGCAAGTTAAGAATATTAAAAGAAAAAATAGCAATAATCTTACTTAGGTTTTAAATTTTTTACTTTAAATGTCACTTGTATATTATTTGCTCTTTCACTTAGATTCCACTCATTAGATGTATCTGTGATATGCACATGTCATGAGTTTGTTATGATATTGATTTTAAAGCGTGTGTTTTTTATGTTGCTGTCTTTGTAATATAGTCTCTGCAGTCTCCTCAGTACTGAGGCCTAAGCCCAAAAGTTCACACTTGGTAGGCCAGTGCTGTGTCATCAGGGTCTGACCTTGTGGGTGCAGTGTTGAGGGGTTCTAAATGCCAGCTCATTTTACGCATAATAAATGCCAACAGGGTTTCTTTTTATGGCCAGTTAATATTTCCCATTCCTTCTGAAGGATGCTTACCTGCATCTTTACCCATAGCAAGTCGAACTCCATATATAAGTTGAGACCTTTGGAAAGAAAGCAAGCATTAGTCTACGTAAAAGTGTATGTTGAAAGAAAGGGAAGTGATGTTACTACATTAGGTTCACTGAGTTGAAGACATATTGACAGGAAGTGACACCCCGGACACACTCATGTGAACCCATCAAGGAAATAAATCTCCAAACCCCTAGGTCAGGGTTAGCAGTTAAAGAATGTAGGCCTGGAGGGATGGCTCAGCCGTTAAAGGCTAGGCTCACAACTAAAAATATAAGAATGTATGTCGCTTTTGTAGAGTACCTAAATTTGGTTTCCAACACCCACATTAGGAGGCTCACAACCTCCTTACCATCACATCCTGGCCCATAATAGGGCACCTGCACCTCCCCACACGCATATCCAAACGACTAACACTGAAACAGATGGCTCTTGAACAGATACTCTGCCAGTGGCAGGGTCCCAGCTGGATGCTCCAGTTAAACTTTGCGTACCCTGTGTGAGTCGCCACTGTTTCTCTTTGGTTCTGGCAGAATATCTGACACTACCTTGCTTATAAAGCATAGACATTTATTACCCACAGTTCTGGAAGCCAAACGGTACAAGGCCAAGGCAACAACATTTGCTCTCATGAGAATTTCTTGCTGGGACTCCACACAGAGGAAAACAGAAGAGCCTTGGAGCCGGGGCCACACTGGCAATCCTCTCGAAAAACATGTCACACATCCTCTAAAGAGGAACCTTCATGGTCTGATCAGCTCTTAACAGCCCATTTCTGAATGCTATCACCATGGCAACGCTTGAATTTTTGGAAGAGACACTGTGAACCCCAGCAGTGGTTCTCTGGGGCTTTCATTTTAAAAAGCACACCTATTTTCCACCAAAGAGGACCATTTTAAAATGACTACACATATTTACTCTCGAAAGAAGACTGTAAGGTAGTTTATCGGCATGCTATAGAATATCCTATTTCTTTAAAAATTAATTAAAAGTATTTCTGCCCAATTTAAAGAGTTGTGGTGCTTGAGTAATATACTTAAACAAGCATGCACAGACCAAGGTCAATTACATGTCCTTGCCTGAGTCTCAGCCGTGTGAAAAAGAAGACCTGTGGTCTTAGGAATCTGCCTGGGCTTCACTTATGCCCTCACACCATTAATGTCCTTTGGGAAAAATGCACGGCATCACATAATGCAATACGATGCATGCTTGTTTCAAAATATGTCCTGGGAGAACCAGCAGCATGGACCAGATGAGCATTTCAGAGTCTCCTGACGGAGGTTCTACTCAGGACACTGCACAACCAGGAGCTTCGTTCCAAAGATACTCAGGCAGTGTCCGGAACCATAGCCTACGTTTAGATGGCAACAGCTGAACTTCTGGTGCGCTTCCCTGAGGGTCTATAACCACTAGGAAAGAAGCCAGGCTTTGCATCTCGAGTTTCTGGCAGGCTCCGGTCTAGAGGAATATGACTTCCCTGTTCACGGCCTCTTCGCAAATGAGGAAATGATAAAGAGAAGAATGGCCCAGCCCCGCCCTTTATATTCAGAGAGCAGATGAAACATTGTTGCTGTATATTGCCATAAAATGCATAGCGGGGAGAGAGAGAAGAGAAGAAAATAGACTCTGTCCCAGGCCGAGGAAAGAGAGTTGGTTCCTGTAAATCATATTTTTTACTTATAGTTGAGCTTGGTCCGGGCTCCTGATCCCAAGCAAGGCTTGCATGCACTTCTGGATGGTGGCCTTTTCTAGGGTGTGACCCAGAGGACAGGACCCATATGCTCGTTCCCATCTTTCATTGTTGAGCCCTCTTGCTGTATCCTTGAGAATGTCCCTTAAGTATCATTCCGCCTCTAGGAACTGCGGGTTGACTCCGCAAGTGTTGTTTCCTGCTTGGCTTGTGGGCTGTTTAATGTCCACGCTGCTCTCCAGAGATGGGCATTACTGCTTCACTTTATTGATGCACTAACTGGGACTGACGGGCACTAAATAGAGATCGCCCCTATGCACTAGTCCACTGCATGCCACACGGGACTGCAGCCCAGTCCTCTGCGAAGGCACAGTCTTTCCTTACAATTCATCTGTAGAGATAGATGTAGGCTTAGGGGGGATATTAAATTGATGTCATAACACGAGTCAACTTCCTGAGGAGCTTATTCAATATCCTGCTTCATGCAGTCACTGGAAGTAGATATAAATGAATATGAAAATAAAGCAAGATCTGGTAATTCTGAGGGAAAATAAAATGTCCAGATAAACATTTGAGACCAGTTTAGCCACTGAGGAACAATAGTTGGGGGGTTTGGAGAGGTGGCTTGGTGGTTAAAGCACTTGTTACCTTTACAGAGGAATGACTTTCTCCAAATGATCCAACACCTTCTTCTGCCTTCACGTCAGCCTGCACACACACACACACACACACACACACACACACACTCACACACACACACACACCATTCATGAAAAACAAAGCTAAATCTCTTAATAAAGAATATTTGTCAAATAAGAATGTAAAGACGTGCCTCTGCTCTTGACTAATGGCGTGCACCCTGATCCAGGGGAGGGTTAGTGAATGAATGAATCAACATGGGAGGATAATTCTTAGTAGCACAAATGGCTCCTCTTTCACTAATGCCTGGAAATGCATTATTTCCTCAGTGTTGGGGAAGGTAAAGTTGTATGCAGCTGACTGTTGGAAGGTTCTTATATGAGAAAGATATAACAGAACTATACTACGGAGGGCAGCTGAGTGCATAGCACAGGTTCCTGGACCAAGTCTTTTGCACTGGTTCTTGGGTGTTATAGACGCTTCTGACTTGGGCTGCGGTATGGAGTCAAGAAGGTAACACATTGAATCCCCAGTGGTTGCCACGCACTGCTGATGCATGCTGCATATTTTACTCTGGTGTAGTAGTTAACAGCACCTAGCGTGTGCTTCTGGATGAAAGTCACTTGAGAGAAACCTGGAGAGGACTTTGGACATTTATGCTAGGGTTCATTTGTTTCATTTCATGTTTCCCAGTGCTGGAGCGGGACCCAGCCTTGTCTATGCTACTCAGGCATCTACTCACGGTGCCATTGCCGGCACATAAGCCCTCATTCCAGACATCCTTTTAAGGGAGGTTATGAAGATTTAAAAATATCTCAATTTCAAAAGTAAAGCCCAGGATGCACACCATTATTCCTAATCCTGTTTTCTAGGCAGATCCTCCATCTAACTCATTCAGAACCCAGCCAGGCATGGGACTAAATGTGTGCGGCATTCACTCACTGCTCTCATGCGCTCTTGAGGCTTGCGAGCGCTTCTGGCTCCAGAATGTCATGTGACAAACGTCAGCAGCTCTGGATTGAACATGCTGCCTCTTCTCTCTTAGCTTCCTCACTGCCAGACAGAACTGAAGACACCTTCTTTCCTTGAAGATTAGTCATGTGTGTTCCGAGCAGTGGCTTCCCAATGCCGCTCCTTCCCCTCCCTCTGTTTCATGAAAATGATGTCTGTGCTTCATTGAACTTCACTCATTGTCACTCACATCAAGGATCCCCTCTGCTTTTCTATGCCATTCTTATCAGCTCGTCTTTTCTTTGGGCATATCTTTAGGAAGGAAATTCTAATAGCATCTCTCTGCAGAAAACCCTCATTCCAAGCCAGACCTAGAGAAAGAAGGTAGACTGACTAGTGTAGTGAATCTTCGTAGGAAGCAGGGGGAGGGCGGTTTCCAGGGACACGTAGAAATACGAAGGGATATTGTAAGATGACATTAAAGGTGAATGTTATATTCCACTCCATCTTCACATGCCAGTGCTCAGAACAGATGGAATTTAAAAAGGAGAACATTTTTCTGTCTCTGTTGAAGGAAAATAAATTTTATAGATGCCCCATACAATCTCCTTGTTGAGTCTTTCACAAGAATTAGGCCCTATGTCCATCCTAGGATCCAGCACTGGGCTTGTCTGCTCATTTGTTTGTAGGCTTACTTTTCCCTGAGATAAAAGTGGTGCTCTGGAGGCTTCTGGTTCCTTCTCCCACAACAGGATGAGCTTGGATCTAATAAACAGAAGAATGCAAAGAGAACACGTGGTTTACTCATCATTGGCTCCTCATCAGGCTAAGACTTCTCTGTCTTCATATTAAAATGAAGAAGCTGGGACGTTAGTCCTTTCTGTTCCCTTTTGGAAGGAAAACCTTGGACAAGGAACATAACCTTTGGCCCCAGGAGTCTCTCTTTTCAAGAGGTCCTTTACCACAGGCTTCAGAAAGTTGCTCACCATTCCTGCATCATCTCTCAAGCTGTCTGTGGAATCAAGGGTCCTGTTCAGCTGCTTTCCTGGTCCTTTTCCACTCTGAACAACTCCACACAAGTACCCTATAAGTTTGTTTTTCTTCCTCGGCAGTACAGCCCTACAACACCCTTAGTAGCTATTACATAGGGTCATAAACACGTACCAAGCCCTTCCTGGCCAGCATATAAACTCCAAGTGATACTCACAGCATAGCCCTGGCAATAATAAGCCTGAGAACTATGACTAACTCATTACTCAGGGTCACTGAGATGTGCATGGCATCAAATATCGCCACACTGAGATAACGTTTGTATAAGCAGAGACATTCATTCGTTTTCCAGCTGCCCAGACCCGAATAATAACACAGAAACTATATTAATTACAACACTGTTTGGCCAATAGCATAGGTGTATTTTTTAGCTAAGTCTTATATCTTAAATTAACCCATAATCCTTGTCTGTGTTAGTCAAATGACTTGGTACCTTTTATCAGTGAGGCTTTCTCATCTTGCTTCCTCTGCATCTGAATGATGACTGCAGACTAAGCCTTTCCTCGTCCCAGAATTTTCCTACTCTGGTCACCCTGCCTATACTTCCTGCCTGGCTACTAGCCAATCAGCATTTAATTAAACCAATACAAGCGACAAATCTTTACAGGGTCCAAGAACATTGTCTCACAGTATATTTGGACCAAACCAGGATAAATCCTTCATGGACTTCTGTTGTCTGCTGTTTTTAAGGTGTATAAAACTATACATCAGATGTGTACATCTGTGGGGTTTTCTTTTTCCTTAAGTTTCCCATATTGATGGGTCATTCTGCCAAAACCTCATTCTTCCTCCTTTTCCTTGTCTTCTGTTCTGCTTTATCTTTCTCATACTCTCTAGCAGTGAACGATGCTACATGACTTTAAAATATTCTCACACATGCTACCAATTTTAATTTTTGAAAACATTTTGAAAGAGTCGCGCTTGCCTCTTGAGATCTCTTTGTTTTCATGCTATTTTATTTTTTTTTTTACAGCTTCACCCTTTCTGACACCATTGCTTGTGTTTGCCTTCCAGACCAGAAACCTCACTGTGGATGGGAGCTTTGGTCCGTGGTCTCCATGGACACCCTGTACACACACAGATGGCACTGCTGTGGGATCCTGCCTCTGCCGGTTGCGCTCCTGTGACAGCCCGGCTCCACGGTGTGGTGGCTGGCAGTGTGAGGGCCCTAGGATGGAGATCACCAACTGTTCCAGGTATGTCCCCCATCACTGAAATGGACAGTCGCATGTCACCTGAGATGGTTGAGAGACCTGGGCAATCACTCTTAATACAAACAAGTTGATGAAGGTGGCAAAAGGAGAAGGACACCCTTCACTTAACTATTATATCATTTGTAGAAGAATGCTTTAAACTGTCATTTGAGTAGTAAATTAAAATTGCTTTTAAGCTTATAGTTAGATAGGAAAACATTACTAATTTACTCTATGTATTTGGCTTCTTTGAGGTAAATGCCCATTACATATGTCTCTGAAATATGTGACAAATAATCCCTACTGCTGGAGCCTGATACATTAGCTAGAAGGAGTCTTTGCTCCATGCAGTGGTAAAGCAGAACTCAACATTCCCCACCTCTACTGTCTTTAACCCTTGGTAATCTAGACAGTGCAGATGTTGTGATCCACTGGGGTGGATTGTGTTCTTTGAGTTGTCTCATGTTCTTTCCTCACTGGACTTGCTTGTCCTGTCTGCCTCCCCTTACACCATAGCATCAGAAGTGCTTCCTGAGTTCCTTGTCAAGTCCCCTTCTACTGTGACTATAATAAGCCATTTCTTAAGATCTTACCTGCTTTTCACAAGTTTAAAATGCAGAAAGGGTGAGGGAAATTATCTCCGAAGGTACTGACAAAAGGTAGACTTGGGTAATCGAATTGTGTGAAGAGCAGGAAGACATAACTAACTTGCCTGGGAAGGGTGGTCACAACAGTGTATATGATTAAAAAAAATAGGCAGGCCTTGCTCTTGTCAGCAGCTTTCATACCACTCCCTAGAGTTTAAAGAAGGCAAGGAGGGCTACAATGACAAGGCTGTATAATAAAACAGAAAACACAGGTGTGTTGTCATTGTGTCTTGCTCCATATAATGTCTATTCAAGCTTCCATAAGTGCCTGACGGAAGCCTGACATAGGTTACTAAACTTACTCTGAAGATGACAATAAGGCAATTTCCTGCTGTTTCATTACTAAAAAACTAGAGTTTGGGGCTATCATTGTTTGTCCCGCAGGCTGCAGTTCTTGTTGGAAACTCATCCTCTCAACAAGCTTGCAGCGAAGCTTATTTCTGATTAATATCACAAGTCAGCCTGCTTCAGTGAGGCTGTGGAAGTGTAAGCACATGGCCATGGACTGACTCCACTGTCAAGATCTCCTGTCCTCTGTGCCATTACTTCAGGGGGCTCCGTGGTTAGCATCCACTGCATCTCAGCTGCTTCTGGAAGTTTGCAAAGCTGAGCTCATATACTAAAGAGCTACGGAGAAACTCGCCTCACTCATTTCTTGATTTCTTATAGTCCTGCCAACTTTAGAAACTTTTATTTATTTACTTTTGCATACACAACATGTTCTTCCTGTTATAAATCAAATATATCATAAAGCGCCACATAATTTTTTTAACACATAGGAAACTAAAAATTTTTAAAGTGATATGAGAGTCAGTGTGCTTCTGTTTTTCTAACCATTTTCTTTCCTCAGATGAAAACCTTTAAAAGCAGAAATAGCTAGTTTAGGTTGAAGTTGTTGTAAAGTTCTGATAATCTAGTGAGTTGCTTTCACAGTGTGTAGAGCTGTGGGTAGAAGGGCAGAAGAAATTGGCTTGTTATTTTTATAATGAACATAGGAGGGTTGGTATCATTTTAACTAAATTATCAATAATCAACAATTTGTCATGCATTAATTTAACAGTATCTGCTTTGTTCCTCTAAGTGCTAGGTTTTAGCTGGTAAATCGTAAAACTCAAAAATATATTTTAAATTTCTCAGAAAATTTTATTTTAAATAAATGTTAATTACTTTAATTTATATATTTAATTCTATGTCTTCAGTGTTACCATATAATACCTTTGTGTCTTAAAGAAATGCATGAAGGGAAAATGAAGGCTAGGTGAACTGATCTTGTTCTGCGCAAACGAAAATCCAGTAGCAGGATGCCTGTGGGGCCTTTGTGATTAACTAATAGGAGTACTAAGGCTGGAGATGGCTCCAGGATTAAGAACCCTGGCTGCTCTTCCAGAGATCCTGTATTCAGTTCTCAGCACCCACACGGTTATAGGTGGCTCATAACCATCTGCGACTGTAGTCCCATAGGACCCCAATGCCCTCTACTGGTGTGCAAATGCCCATGTAGATAACACATAAATGCATAAATAAATGAATCTTAAAAAATAAAGTTTCCAAAGGCATTATGCAAAGGAGCTTGGGTCATGCACTAAAATGAATGCTCTCATGCTCAGAATGATAAAATACTTACAACTTATTTTTAATAGCACAGGAAAATGTCTATGGGAGATATTTAAATTATAAAGACTCTTAATATATTATCACTATATGAAAAATTACACTCTTGAAATATTGTGTGTCAATAGCAATCTATTTTGTAAGCAACTTTGGTGAAATAGAATCATTTTTTCTTTTATTCTTAGTATGACTCTATTATTCTGTATGTACAATAGCTCAATAGAACAGTTGCACATGAATTTATGATTTTGTATTAAATATCATCCCCTTTGGGAAGGTTCTACTTGTCCTTGGCATGCACACTGCCTATAGGGCCACACATGCTCACTGGCATTAGATTCAATAGAACGTGCTCTATGTAATTTTTCTGTCTCAGGGGTACTGCTCACAGGTTATGATGGATGTGACCGGAGTCAAGTAAAATTGGGAATTCTGTAGGTTTAGAATTCATTTCTAATACTTTGTAGTAAAATAACATTTTAAAGTTTGAAATTCTCATGACTAAAATTTTGTAAGTGTTTCAAACAAAATAAGCATATTTGGAATGATTTGTTGCTTTCACATCAGAGGCCAACTGCAAGGGACTTCACAAAAGCAGAGGTGACCATTCTACTCCATCCAAAGGCTGTGATTCCACACAATCTAAGAGTCCACCCACTGGACAAGGGCATTCACAGTCAGAGCAGACAGAGCCCAGAGTCTGAGCTGGCTTGACTGAGATGTTGAATCACTTCTTCTCCCACAGGAATGGAGGCTGGACTCCCTGGACCTCTTGGTCACCCTGCAGCACCACCTGCGGCATTGGCTTCCAGGTGCGGCAACGCTCCTGCAGCAACCCCACACCCAGGCATGGAGGCCGCGTGTGTGTGGGCCAGAACCGGGAGGAAAGGTAGGTGCCAGCTGGGCTCCTAAGCCAGCATCCTCATGCTTCCTGCCATCCCTGTACACCCAGTTTCCCTTGGAGGTCTAGCTTGGTTTTCATCTACGGAATTCCTCTTTTAAGCTAAACTGCACCGTATTTTTCTGACATTCTTCAATTCTGACCAAAGGTTCCCACGAAGAGTCTCGTTCTGGTCCCGTTTCCCTGCATGCTTGAACTGATTCAGGGAATCCATTCTCACGTCACTGGATGCTTAGGAACTAAGGGTATCTGTGTGCAGGGTGTCTGTGCACCCAGCACATTAGCCTGCTGGAGGATGGTTGTTGAGATATTAGGTTAGTCCTGTCTCAGCAGCTACCCATCTCTAAAGGTCCTAGTGATGAGGGCAAGTAAGATAAAGACGTCCCCATGAGACTGGGGTGCAGGCAGTGGAATGGAATGCAGGGGAAGATGTGTCTGTCTACCTTCTAGTACAAGCATCCCCCATGAGCCGTGTGCCATACCCTCCACAGTGGAAATTGCCTCCCAGGAAGACTTTGCCTCTTCAAGGCCCTATCAGGACATTTCACCATAGACGTGAATCCAACAAGCTGTGTTTGTTTGTTTGATTGATTGATTGATTGATTGATTATAGAACTAACCATTTTTCTTTGTCTGCAAAATCTACTCTTTGTTCTTTTTCTCTCCCTTGCCTACTGAATGCATATTCCATTCTGTCACTGCTGGGAGGGAAAACTTGCAGTTGAAGCTTGTATTATTTTTAGTATATTACACATGTGCACACATGTGTGCACCCTCCCCCCCCCACACACCATTCTATTGAATGGCTCCCAGTGCCTTTTAATACAAAGATATAAGCTCCTACTCAGTGTCTCGGGTTCAGGGAGTCTCATAAAAATTCCTTCTCTCTATGTGGCCATGTACTTTGGGGAACAAAAACAGGCTCACTTTTTCTTTTATGTAGGTATTGGGTACATTTTGAAAGCAACAAGAAAGACCATTTTGTTTCTTTGTTCACCAAGTTTCTTACTTACTAATTAAGATTTTATTCCTTTTGACTAAGAATGAGAGGAAGGTTACTGCCACACATGTCAGGATTTGTCAGTTTTGAAATGGTCCTCTGAGATAGTCTTGTTAGGTTCGTAGTGTTCCATCTAACACCAGTTGGTAGGCAAAAAAGCTGGATACAGAAGCATTTTCTTATTACTTGCAAGATTTTAAGCTAGCTGGAAGGTTTCAACATTGTGAGTCATCACACTGTGTGTCCTAGCTGGAAAGTTTGCTGGAAGGTTTCAACACTGGGAATAGTCACACTGTGTGTCCTAGCTGGAAGGTTTCAACACTGGGAATAGTCACACTGTGTGTCCTAGCTGGAACGTTTCAACACTGGGAATAGTCACACTGTGTGTCCTAGCTGGAAGGTTTCAACACTGTGAATCGTCACATTGTGTATCCCATTCAGATAAAACCGCATCTGTCTGTGCAAATGCTTTGCTGGTGTCCCAGCACTGCACAGACACCGTCTCCTTCCCCAGGCTGAACAGGCAGGAAGGCCAAGGCTGTATCCCTCTGTGGCTACATGCACCATGTTCTGTCCCTCCCCTTGAATTCATAAAGCCTTACTTTCAGAAAAGAATTTAAAAACAATGCTAGGCTGTTTGGCTGTCTCACACCTAACATGTTCTGCATTTACAGGAGACATGTTTGGGGGCCTTAGATAAGGGATTACTTACTAGAGGAAATTTTTTACTTCAAATAATAAAGACATGAAATGTAAGAATGTGGACTATGTATTGTTACTGTAAATGAGCGCCTCTCTTATGTATGCTCTCCAGAGGGCAACAGGAATCTCAGAAGAGCCAAATACTCAAATTTATTGCCATGTTGCATGGGGAGATCACCTCATCAAGAAAACCCATCCTGATCCTGGCAGTGGAGATGTATGATGATGGATTAAGGGAGAGGAGGGGACAGGATTCTAGGAGCAAGTAAATGAAATAATCAATACTTTTTATTATATTTAAATGGCACTAAACTCTCTCCACAAATTCAGTGAATGCTGTCAACATAGTTAATGATTTCTGCAAAAAGTTTTCAATGTGTGGCTTAATCCAATGGGAGCTGAGCCCCAAGTAAAATTTCCTTGGATTTTCACTTAACTTCTTTTTTCACGTGTGCTATAGAATGTATGAATGTTCTTTTTACTTCTAATACTTCTTCAGAATGGATTTCTTCAGAGCCTACTTGAGGAACCAATTCTCCAAAGACTACCAATAAGACAGGATACAGCAGACATTGGTGCAAGAATCAAAATCTTGTTGGGTTAGTTTCTACTGCTCTGTCACTATGGTGCCATTGGCCCAAAGGGAAACAATGTACAATTGCTGTCCCACCCCGTCAGAGGGACCTCATGTCAAGGCTTCCAAGTTGTCTGCCAGATACTGCCCCAAGCCCTTGACAGCTGAGCCTTCTTAGAGTGATCTCTAACTCATCACAATCTAAACTTATGAACTAGTCGCTATGTTCACAAGACACAGCCTCATCTGACCATAGTGGCTTAGTAACAAGGAAATCTGCCCACCCAGCAGAGAAGGGGATTGTAGCATGACAGGGTACGTTTCCCTGGTGTCTCATCAGATTCTGTTGATCACAGACAGTTCTCTGTCCTCATGGAGCTTGAACCCTTCCATCTGTAGAATGCTGCTCATCTATTTGCAGGGTTCCCAATGCCATATCCCATTCAATTGTACCCCAAAAGCTCAAAGTGCCGCCACCTAAGTAAGGTGTGTCTGAGGCCCTGTTGCAGTAGCACTTCTTGGTTTGTCATCTCCACTCAAAAGTAATGCCACTTTTGGGTATATATCCAACGGATGCTCAATCGTGCCATAAGGACATGTGCTCAACTATGTTCATAGCAGCATTGTTTGTCATAGCCAGAACCTGGAAACAACCTAAATGCCCCTCGACTGAAGAATAGATAAGAAAAATGTGGTACATTTACACAACGGTGTACTACACAGCAGAAAAAAATTAACAACATCTTCAATTTTGCAGGAAAATGGATAGAGCTAGAAAACATCGTTTTGAGTGAGGTATCTCAGACCCAGAAAGATAATTATCACATGTACTCACTCATAAGTGGTTTTTAAACATAAAGCAAAGAAAACCAGCCCACAAATCACAATCCCAGAGAAATTAGACAACAATGAGGACCCTAATAGAGACATACATAGATCTAATCTACATGGGAAGTAGAAAAAGACAAGATCTCCTGAGTAAATTGGGAGCATGGGGAATTTGGGGGAGGGTTGAAGGGGAAGGGAGAGACAGGGAGGGTAGCGGAGAAAAATGTAGAGCTCAAAAAAAAAAAAAAAGACAAGTTAGCTCTCGTCAACATTCACTTCACACAATACAGCAGAGGGGTGAGCAGCAGATGACAGCTGTGCATATTTCCTTTTCAAAAAAAAAAAAAAAAGTAGAAAAGGGAGTCACTAAATCTTCTTCTGCAGGAACCCTGCAGTGTTGCCAGGTGACGGTTGGGAGTTGCTTGTGCTATAGGCATCCTGCGCCACAGACCTTGGCCCAGCCTTGTGGGCGCTTAGCTCAGTTTCCTGAATTATCTTCCCTTTGCCAGAAAGGCAGCAGATGTTTGCAGCTGGTGAAACTTGCAGCAGCCTCCTTTCTATCAGTAGAATTTGGGCTACCCAATGACATTTGTTATTAGCTCCCACGTTTCTTTCCATCTAAGTTGCTGAAGTTACTCTTGGAAAGCTTTGAAAGACTTGGGTAAACCTCTTTGGGGTTTCGCTACCAAACCAAAAGCACAGCTCCAGATCTGTTCGATACGGCCTTCCTCTGCCTCACAGTCCTGCTGGGATGACGAGAACACAGCAGCTGGCAGCTTGCTAGGCTCCCTCTGGGTGACGAGGAGGGTCCCTGAGGCACCCCCTTGCTCTTGCACTCTTGTGGACTCTATGCATGCTCACAGTCTGCCCCCATTCTTCAAGCTTGCTGAGGTTTCCTCAAGAGGTTAAGCCGGCACGCCCCAGCTTTCCCTGACAGCAGTTGGTGGTTTACATAAGGAAGGCCGCTGTGAACTCATATCTCTGAATGCTTAGCCACTATGGAGTGGAACTTTTTGGAAGGATTAGCAGGATTAGGAGGTGTGGCCTTGATGGAGTAGGTGTGGCCTTGTTGTAGGAAGTTGATCACTGGGGATGAGCTTTGAGGTGTTAAAAGCCCAAGTCAGGGATAGTCAGTCTGTCTCTTCCTCTCCCTTCCCTCCCTCCTCACTCCCTGCCTATGGATCAGGAGTAGCTTTTTGCTACAACTTCAATGCCTGCCTGCATGCTGCCATGCTCCCTGCCGTGATGGTAATGGACTAAACTTCTGAAGCTGTAAGCCAGTTCCCATCAAGGGCCGCCTTCTTCAGTTGCCTTTGTCATGGTGCCTCTTCCCAGCAAAGGAACAATGACTAAGACAAAGCGCTTGAATGCTTGGGAGTTATTTCTTAATTTTAGAGGTTTTTTTTTTCCTTGCCATTAGCAAAGTCTAATCCAAGCAACAGTTGGCCCTTGTTCTTTTCATGGTCCACCCTTGTTTTTTTCTCTTTCTGTCCTGTGAGCTGTAAGAAGCCATTGACACCTTCACATTTTGCTCTGAAATGTCCTCACCTGGGTAACTTCCTTCACACCTTGAAGTCCTATTTCTCTTATCAATATAGACGACAGTTTTGGAAGCTTTGTAGCTTTCGTAGCCACATTCTCCTAACTACTTATCTAAAAAAAATAAAAACTGTCCCATTTTCTTTTTATATTTTTTTTATCTTGGCAAAATACAAACAACATAATTAGCCACTTAGCCACTTTAAATGCAGAATTCATTGGCATTAATTAAACTCACATTAGTATGCAAAAATTACAACTCCCTATTTCCAAAACTTTCTCGTTACCACTAAGTAATGATTTCCGTACCCTCATTCTCAATACCCCTGGAAACCCTGCTGACTA